TTCATAAGGGTGCATACACACATATATGTATCCACACATTGTGATCTATACATTCTTATACACACCAATAGAGATTTACACTGATATACATATAGCTATACAGATTCTCAAATAGTTGTATGTGCACACACAGAGCTACCTTGATGCACACACACACACACACACACGCACACCCTGGTATACACAGAAACAAACTCAGAAACACAGTTAAAAGGGAGGTGACTGAGGGATTGCAGGGAGGCTGCCTAGGAAGGAAGGAGGACCATATGCTGAGTGCTTTGCAAATCTTGTTCCTCCATGGCCTCAATCAATGAGTTGGAGTTGTTTGGCACATTGGAGCACAAACTAATTTCTACTTCCCTTAGAAGCCCCAGTGAGTGGGCAGTGCCCATATTCCATATGTTCACACTGGTCACTGGCGGCTTTCTGCAGAAATGCTCCAGGTACCATAGAATGAGGTCTGGTGCCTAGCAGAACCTGATGGAGCACCCCCTTTTGTAAAGTGAAGGGGAGAAAAAGGGAGTGCCTCAATTGAGAGAGTTAAGTGGACAAGAAGGAAGAGCAAGTGGTGTGGCTTTACCACTTACTGGCTGCATGTTCTCAAGCTCCATTTTTCCCCCTTGGAACATTGGGATAATGTGCTTTGCCTTCTCTAGCTCACAGGGCTCCTGTGAGGGTCTGACGAAATGATGGTTCTGTGAGCTCATTGACACTACACTGGACAAATAGAAAGGATTAGTATAGAGATTCACAACAGTTGTTCATATGCTATTCTAGACCAGATGGTGAAGTAGCAGGTCAGAACTTTTCTAACTCTAATCTTCATTCACCACGTATTTGTTCTATGACTAGTGTTCAAATCAGCATCTGACCTAGACACATGTACTAAGTCCCTATTGTCAAGCATTCTGGAGCAGAAATATAGACAAGAGAAATATAGACAAAGATGCCAGTTCAATTTGGTTAATCTCCAGCTTGACATTACTCAGCACCTCACAGCTCCTGCTGGAAAAAATGCTCTCTCACCTGACATTTCACTCAGCACCCCTATCTAACCCCCTACATTCCACTCCCAATCTTGTGCTACAACAACACACTCAAAATAAAACAGAAAAATCGTGCAAAAAAGGCACTGTCAAAAGTCCTCAGTTTTCCCAGAGCCAGTCTACTGCACTTCCAAGCCATAGATAGCCCTTTCCCTGTGCATCCTAGCCCAACTAAGCTTGACTTTCTCCCATAAAACCCTAAGCAACAGGTGAGCAAGGACCATAATCACTAGGAGGGGGGGAAACGCATAAGAAAAAAAGTAATGAAAAAGAAAATTCAACACTTTAGGGGGACAGAAAAGTCCCCAAAAATGTTTGTGCACAGGGCTCAGCTCCTTCCTCTGTCCCTCAAGATGGCTTCTCTCTGTCCTCTAAACATTTCCAGGGGCTTTTCTGTACTCATTAGATATTAAAAATATTTGAAAAGGTGGCAGTCTTTCAGTAGAAAAGAAAAATCAATTAGCTCTCGACTTCTAACTCTTTCTCAATCCCTTTCCTTCCCGCCAGAACAAGTTATTACCAACTACTCACCACCTCATGTTTATAAAGAGAAAGGTAGAACTGATTTGACTGTCCAAATAACCAAAATTAAATTAACAAAGGAAAGAAGGCAAAACGGAACCAAAATAAACTGTGAAAGGAGCACAGCACAGTGTCCCTGCTACTCTGGGGCACTATGGGACTAAAAGCCATGGTATGGCCAGTAAATAATGTTGAACACCACAAAGGCAAGAGGGAAGAGGATCCGGCACCACTTATCAATCTTAGGAATGTAGTCAGGGTCAAAGATCTCAGAACAAAACCTTTCCCTGCAGGAGTGCCCAGGGCTTGGGGGGCAACTATCATCAGATTCTGAACTACTGTCCTCATCTCCATCAAATCCCATGAAATTGTCATCATTATGGCTCCAGGTAGTGTCAGCATCACGCTGTAGTTGGTTCTCCAGGTCAAGGTAGTCTTGTTCAACGTTGATGTCACCAGGCAAGTGAAGGAACTCCTCACGGCATCTATGCATGTTATCAGGCTCACAGCTTGCTTCTTGCATGCACCCCTGGCCATGGATGAGCAGATGCTTTCTATTGGGGCCATAGCCATGGTTGTCATCCAAGCTGTAGCTCTCTTCGGGTTCTTCTGGGTCACAGAAGGTCTCAGCATGGCAATGGGCCTCACCAGGATTGTAGATTTTGGTAGGAATAACACTGCCATCAGTCTCAAAACCATTAATGTGAGTGTCACAGCTGTGCAGTGCCTGCTCTGAGGTGGGGGAGAGATCATTCAAGCTTTCTTCAGTGGCCAGCCAAGACTGGAGCGAGAGCGAAGACAGTGAGCTGAGGCTTTCTGAGGTGGCCAGTGGGACCCGCTCTGAGATGAAGGTCAAAGAGTCGAGGCTTTCTGGGCTTGCTGAGTGGGCCTGCACTGGTCTAGAGAGAGGAGAGCCACCTTCATCTTTGATGTCAAACTGGTCATCTTTTGAGGAAATAGTGGATAGACTCATAAAGTCAGCAGATTCACATCCTACATGAATAACCACTTTCGGGGAGGGAGGAGCACTTGTGGTCGTTTCGACTGACAGAATCTCCTCTTCCTGGCTTCTCTGGCACACACGGGGCTGAGGAACAGGACCAAGAGGCTGTTAGCATGTAAGGGAAGTCCCTGGTGGCTGCCAAATCTGTGTAACTCTGAGGCAGCTGCTCCCTCTGGAGTGCTGTGTGGTGAACAGAGGCAAGGCCTCCTCAGGCAGTTAAGATTTGGCTCCCTGTGAAGGAGGGAGTGGTGCTAAACATTAATGTACCACCAGTAGCAAAAGCCTCAGCATGGCTTTGGGAGTCAGAAAAGCAAAGGAAGGAAGGGTAGACCAGTTCTCTGTTGTCTGTGTTTTTTTTTTCCCTTTCGACCTCCTTATGCTCCCTTTTGCTCTGGCTCCATCACTTGCCCTTGGAAGCATGCTAAGTGGACTAGATTTGAAGACCAAAGGTCTGGGGAAATCTAGCTCTGCCACTTACAAGCCTTGTGACTTGGAACAATGACAACCTATAGAGGAGTGATAATCAATTTTTCTACTTCTTTGTTATCTGGTGTGTGTGTGTGTGTGTGTGTGTGTGTGTGTGTGTGTGTGTATGTGTGTGTGTGTGTGTGAAAGGAATTACTAAGAAATGTGAAAGGGTCAAGTGCCAAGCTTAGTCTAAAGAGGCACTCAGGAAAAGCTGATTATCAGCCAAAATGTCAAACCTGCAGCTCTGATTCCTCCTGGTAGCGATAGTGATCCATGATTTTTCGGGCTCTGCTGCGTTGCCTATGACGGCGCCGAGTTCCTACTCGGCTGTAGAAAAGATAGTTGATGTAGACATATTCCAGCAAGGACAGGAACACAAAGAAGAAGCATACAACCATATAGATGTCAATGGCCTTGATACAAGAAAATTCAGGGAGTTTTTCCCGCAGGTGTGAATTGATGGTGTTCAGGATGAACATTGAAGTCAGACCTATAAACAACATGGCATAGGTGGCTGAAGTTCTTGACAAGCCATTGGACTCATAGTACAGGAAGGGAGCAAAGACAATTTCTGGGGTGGGGAGGGTTCTCAGCAAAAAAAAGGCCTTCAGCTCTCCAAGTGCGGGCCGTTCCTCTTTTTTTCCTCCTCCCCATCTTTACACTGAGCCTGTGCTTCAATAGTTCAGTGACTTCTCATTGCTTTTAGGATCAAGTAAAAATTCTCTAGCGATGATTTTACACTGATTTACATCTCCAGTCCCATTTTACCCTATAATGGCCCTTACCCTTTGGCTTCTAGTTCATATGCTTTCCTTTAACTCCTCAATACTAAATGAGATCACATCCCTAGAAGGTTTTGTGAGTCCTAAAATATTACAGAAATATAAAGTTTTAGTATAGTATATGTTCCTAAAGAAGGAATCTAAGGAGTCTGCCTCAAAGACGGTAAAGGGGAAACCAGATCTAGATCTAAGACACACTGCTTTCTTTGTGGTGAGGCCAGATATACTTAGGAGTTGATTTCTTAGGCCCCTCCTTGATACTGCTAAAAAAGCTTTGATGCTCCCCATTGCTTAGCCATGAAATTCCAACTGCTTAAACTACATTTTAAGGTCTTTCCAAGTCAAACCAATCTTTCTTTCTGCTACTCTTCCCCAGCTGCTGCCCCAAGTACTTTATGATTTAGCTCCCTTTTAGGGCCCCTGTGCTTTTAATCAATTTATTTCCTCTTTTAGGGAATGGCAAGTTTTGTGTCTCTGCCTCCTACAAGTCTTGAAAACCCAGTTCATGCAATAGTTTCTTGGGGCAGTTTTAGCTAAAAACAAAACAAGCAAACAAACAAACAAAAAACTGGGTCATTTCCTCCTGTGGATTCCAGTGTCATCTGTCTTGGTCTTCCACTAGATACTCATTGAGGGCAGCTCCTTTAAAAGTCTTCTGCTGCTTAGTGGGGCATTTTGATATGTTGTTTAATCAATGTTTGTTGTATTGTATTTCTGATCTGCATTTAGGACTTGTCCATTCATTTATATATCCAGAAAATAATGAATTCTGGTACTTTGGACCCAACACATGAAGATCCCAGCCCTTATTTTTTTCACACCTGTTGGTCTCTCTGCTGGAAATTGGCTGAGTACCTGTACAAATGCTTGCTGGGTAGGACCTATCTTGTTTCCTTGCCCTTGCAGTCACATACTGTTCCTATACTTTTCCCTTACTCTCAACTTTTTTCCTCTCTGGGATTTGGGAGAGAGGGAGGGAAAGACCTACTGATTGTCACCCTGGCTACAGAAGATTCATAGTTCATCCAAAACGTTGCCCAAGAAGCAATAGTGGTGATGATAGTAGGCCAATAGACCTGCACAAGGTAGTTGATAATTTTCCTCTGGATCAGGAATCTCAGTATTAGTCGCACATAGGAACCTGGCAAGAAGACATACTGTTATCAGGGTGGCAGGTCCAAGGGGATTTTCAGGGTTAAGTATAGGATGGAGGAAGGGAAATCAATGGGCAGTTCAATTTCTAATACTACAGCCTAGGTGGTCTGCTGAACAGACCACATTTGCTGCCTTAAGGACAGTGACAATGGCATGTGTCTGTATGGCATAGCAAATCTGCTTTCTTCTTCTTCCTTTCTCCCTTCCTCCATGTCAACTGAAATTTAAAAATTGGAGAGACATGACATGTTTTAAAGCTGCAAACGGATGGAGGGTGAGGGACTGGCCCTGAGAGGAGGCCTGCTTTTATCAACACAAGCATGAATCCTTTATACCTGTGGAGTGTTAAACTTGGCCAAGTGCTTCCACACCCATTTCCTTATTTCCAGAGAGTAAGCCAGAGGGACTTTAAGAAGGGTGTTTTTGGAAGGTTCCAGAATCAGAAAAGAAATAGCAAAGGAGGCCATGCAGAGTGTAGAGGTCCAAGGCAGAGGTCCCCAGAAGTTTACCAGGGTACCAAAGAGACAAGGGACAGGAGACAAGGAAGTAGTTAGACCCACCTGTGTAGAAAATCTCCTCTTTTCTAGTTATTATCTTTCCCAGGAGGTTAAATTGAGGGATCTGTAGCTTTTCAGTCCCCTGGATGGCATTCTCATCACCTTCCCAGTATAACATGATGTCTTCAACCGTGTAACCATCTGGGAAACAGAGAGTAACAGAGTTATCCAATCTCAGAAAGCAGGGATAGGCAGATTTCACACCAGTACAGTCTGTGGAATCAAAGGATGGTTGATACCTGCACTTCGGGGGTTCCTTTGTGTTTTGCTGAGTCTGAGCATTTGGGGAGGAGGGCACTTGGAAAGGGAACTCTCAGTTTGGAGGTGTATTGTTGTTGTTGTTGTTGTTGTTTAGTCAGGAAGGAAAGCACAGCAAAGAAATGCGTTCCTACCCACTAGCTTGTTCATAATTTCCCAATAGCAGGGTAAAATTTTCTCATGGGACTATTTACACCCTAAAGTCCACCTTCTCCCAGATGCCATGTCTGTCTATCTATCTATCTATCTATCTATCTATCTATCTATCTATCTATCTATCTAGGAGAACAGAGACAGGGAGGGAGGGAGTAGGGGAGATGTGCCATTCCTGTCACTATCAAGTCTGTCTTTAGTTTCCCAATGGCCACAAACATAGGTAGGGAAGAAGGGGCCATGAGAGATAGACATACAGCTCTCCACTTCCAGCTTGCAAATCTGCTTGTCCAAAGGGTATTTCTGAATATTCATAGAACAAGCTGCTGTGGTGGTGAGTCTGCAAAGGAAAAGCAAAAGGAAAAGAAAAGTGAGTCTAGCCCAGGCAAGCAGCCACTCCCGAGAACATTGCAACGTTGGGGAAGGAGAGGTATCCCAAGGACTGATCTGTCCAACACCTTCCTGTACTTCCTACACTAGAGCTGAACCCTCTCCCCCTCTCTACTTTTTTTCCTTCCTTCTTCCCTTCCTCCCTCCTTCCCTCCCTCCCTGCCTCACTTCTTTCCTTCCTTCCTTCCTTCCTTCCTTCCTTCCTTCCTTCCTTCCTTCCTTCCTTCCTTCCTAAAGGTAAGATGACTTACAATTATGTAAGGAGGAGAGAGGGACATTGTATGTGACAAAGAAACCAAAATCTCTGGCTGGACTTGAATGAATAATACATGTGTGGCATGTCAGGATACCTCGGGGTGTCCAAAGAAGAAGGGCCCTTGAGGAAACTGAATGCAGAGACAGAAAAAAGGACTTTCTTGCTGAACAAACAGCAAGATTGCCAAAAGTAAACTGCTGCACTGAAGTAGCTAAAGCTCCACATCTGCTGTGCAGTGCTCACATGAAGTCCTCAGGTATGGATGTAAACAGTGGCCCAGACCCATCTTTGGCCATGGAAGCTGTTCCCACCCCACAGTGCTCCAATCTTTGTGTATCAGACTTTGAGGGTACTGTGAACTAGCAAAATGTCAGTGGATATAAATGGGTAGGAGGGATAAGGTGGGCCATGAAGTGTTGGGCAGAGACTTCAAGTAGCCTTGTGTTGGGTCCATGAGAGGAATCTGAGGAGGACTCTGGAAGAAGCTAGGGAAATGGGAGAAGTGACCAGTGCAAACAGGATAGTTTTAAAAGCTCTCTGACATCTGAGCTGGGGGCTCTGCTCCAGCCCTTATTCTACCATTCCCAGCAGCTATCCCCAGCCTAGTAGTCCCTTTCAACTTTTGAAATGATGTCCACTTTTCACAGTGGGTAGGTTGTGTGTGTGTGTGTGTGTGTGTGTGTGTGTGTGTGTGTGTCTCCCTTCTGTGAATCCTCCGTGCAGCACTAATCAGCTGAGGTCCCTTTTAAATGAAACAAGTGTGATCAGTGTCTTGTTCCATGCAAGCTTTGTTATTCTCTGACTCCAGCACCTTGTTCTATGGGACAGTGGATGGGCAATAAGAGGGAAACAAGATACAGAACAGGAGTATCCTAGAGAAAGAGAGACCCAGAGATAGAGCTGAATCCTGACAGCTACCTCTTGGGGAAATTTTCTGAGCTAAATTTGTCTCTCATGCCTAAGTGATGGTTTGTAAGAGATGACACTGTGAGGAGAACATTGGTGGCTGTCTGCAATGCTATATATGGACCAATGAGGAGTTCTAGCATGCACACATTCTGTGCGTGCAGAGCCACAGACAATACACCCATACTGCATACCTCTGGGTCTCTACATGATACAAATATGACCAATGGCACACCTCGGGCCCCCTCCCTTACTGCATGGACTTCAGAATTTATATGACTCCCTCCCTCACTGCATGGGAGAGAAATGGCACAAAGATAAATAACAGAATTCTATAATGCTAAAGCATTGATTTTCCAGTTGAAAGAATCAAGGAGGATTTATTGACAAAGAAGGCATTTGAGTTAGCAACTGAATGACGGCCAAGATTTGGACTCATGGAAAGGGCCACTCCAGACAGAAGCAACAGCAGAAGCCAAGGTGTGGAGACAGGACAGCTAAGGATGTCTGTGGAAAATTGGGTAGGATGAGTGAGGGGGCAGTGCAAGATAGGTTTGAAGAGCAATGGGATCCTCCATGTGTTCCTTAGAGTGCATTCATGGGATACTCAGTGGGAATTATGAAGCCTGCCAGGAGGCTCCCCTGACCTCAGGGAAACTCACCGGATGCCATAATGCACTGTTCCATCTGGGTGAAGCTGAAACATACGATTTTCCACAGTCATGTCATGCACCAAGGTATCCTTGCTATTTAGAAAGTAGCAGTCGGGGAGCCACAACTTGTCAGCCATCCGATAGTCCAGAGTCAAGTTTAAGTTGGTCTCACAGTATGCTAGACGTGGATCTTTCCAGGTTTGATGAAAAAACATCGTGACCTTACAGTCCTGGGGAAAGAAATCTCAATTGTGAGCAAGGTTGTCCAACTTTTCATTCTGAGTGTGTGTGCAGGTGTGAGAAATCTATACTAATAAAAGCCTAGGTGGTCCTCACACCCTCACGCGACGGTCTCACGTCATCACAAAATGGCCACCACAAGATGGCCATCACAAGATGGATGGCAGGGAAGGGCAGTTGGGGGTGAAAAGGCCAGCAGGGGAGGGCAGTTGGGGGTGAACAGGCCAGCAGGGGAGGGCAGTTGAGGGTGAACAGGCCAGCAGGGGAGGGCAGTTGAGGGTGAACAGGCCAGCAGGGGAGGGCAGTTGAGGGTGAACAGGCCAGCAGGGGAGGGCAGTTGAGGGTGAACAGGCCAGCAGGGGAGGGCAGTTGAGGGTGAACAGGCCAGCAGGGGAGGGCAGTTGGGGGTGAACAGGCCTGCAGGGGAGGGGAGGTGGGTGCTACCAGGCTGGCAGGGAAGGGCAGTTGGGAGCGATTGGGTCAACAGCGGAGGGCAGTTGGAGGCAATCAGGCTGGCAGGGGAGGGCAGTTGCAGGAGATCAGGCCAGCAGGGGAGCAGTTAGGGGTGATCAGGCAGGCAGGCAGGTGAGTGTTTAGGAGCCAGTGGTCCTGGATTGTGAGAGGGATGTCCAACTGCTGGATAGGGCCCCTACACCGACAGTTAGACATCCCCTGAGGGGTCCCAGATTGCAGAGTGCAGGCCAGGCCGAGGGACAACTCCCTCCCTCCCTCCCCACCCCCACACACAAATTTTGGCCACCAGGACTCTAGTCCTATTCATAAAAGCCTATGTGGTCATCAGGCACTCATGCTGTGAAGCCCTCATGCCACAATGAGCAATCACCAGGAGGCTGCCTGCGCAGTGGGTGCACATGGGTGGGCGGGGCTGCGTGCGCACGCAGGTGGGCAGGGGCTTGATGCTGCATGCACAGCATGGAGGTGGGTCCCCTGGCTCCATGCAGTGAGGCCTGCGGTCCCACAGCTCCATGCGGCACGGAGGCAGGACTCCCGGCTCTGGCTTACTTCTTTGGGGCAATCCATTGAGGAGCCCCGGATGGGTGAGCAGGGCCTACCTCTTTGGGGTGATAGATCATGGGGCTGCCGCACTGTGAGAGGGCACAGGCCAGGCTAAGGGACTCCCCCCACACTCTGAATGCATGAATCTTATGCACTGGGCCTCTAGTACAGTATAACTATTGATGACTAATGAAACATATGTAAGAATGTTAAATGTTAAGAATAATAAAATTAACTCTGGGGAATTAAAATCCAGGTTAAGAAATACAACATTATCAATAATTTTCAAGTTTCAATGTATCCCTTTCAGAATATATTTCCTACACCTCCCAGCAGTAACCATTTAAATCTTAGATTTAAATGACAAGAATTCCCTTGTTTTATGTTGAAGTTTTTTGTTTTTGTTTTTAATCTATGTATGTGTTTCTAGGAAACATATTGCTTAGCTGGGCCTATTTGAAGATTTTTTTTCCCAAATGGAATCAAACTGTATGAATTCATAATAGTCTTATTTCACTCAAAATTATATTTGTGATATTCATTCAGGTTGCTGTGTGTAATTAAAATTGGCTCACTTGCATTGCTTACATATTGGATAATATTTCTTTACATGAATATACTATGTATATTATTGTGTGAACACACCATTCATGCCAAAATCACAATGAAATAAGAATTATAAAGTGAAAGTTCTACGTCACACCCCCTCTAAGAACAGATGGGAGTTTCTAATGCTCCTGCCTGTGAAACATTGGTATTGTCTGACTTTTGACTTTTGTCTTTTGTAAATCTGGTAGATAAGTAATAGGGTCTCATTGTCGTCTTATTTTTCATTTCACTGATTAATAATAAATGCAAGCATCTTTTCATATTTTTATTTGCTACTTAGTTTTCTTCACAAAAGTAAAGTTCCTGTTCAAATTTTCTGATCTTTTTTTGTTGTTCTTAGTATTCTTTTTATTAGTCCACATGAATTATTTATATTTTTGTATCAGTCCTTTTTGCTGCAAATATCTTTGTCCATTCTAATTTATCCTTTCACACTTGTTAAACTGGTTTTGTTTGTTTTGCAAAACAAAAGTTTCAAAAGTTTTGGCTAAACATAATTTTTATATAGTTGAAGTTACCAGTATTTATTTTTATGGTTTGTGTTTTCTGTGTCTTTTTTTTTATTAAGTCCTTATCTACCATAAAGGTGTAAAGACAGTATCCTATATTATCTTTTAGAAACTTCATAAACCTTTTAGGTCTAGAATCCATATGGATTTATTTTTTTTTATTCCAAGTGGTTGTAGTTTCCAAAACCTATTGTTTCTCCATATGAGCTATGTTGCCTGTCAGAACAACTGGAGTTGGCTTATGACTTTGCGCACTGTCCCATGTACTTTGTCCCCAGTTTTATGGCTGGAGCTGGCACACTTACCATAGTTATTTCTGAGATGTGTTCAATATTGGAGACATACATAGATATTCCCACAGGCACAGGGTCACCTGCAATGCAGGAAGACAATATTATATGTAGGGTAAGATAAAGGGTAAGAGTCTGAATTCAGGAGCCAGACTGCCTGGTTTTGAACCCCATTTTGACCCTGGTAAGATAAAGGGTAAGAGTCTGAATTCAGGAACCAGACTGCCTGGTTTTGAACCCCATTTTGACACTTACTAGCTGTGTGAGCTTGAATAAGTTACTTAACCTCTCTGAGCCTTTATTTCCTCATGGGTAAAATGAAGATCATTTAAGCACTGGTCTCATAGTTAATGCAGACCAAGAATTTAGAGCAGGGTCTGGCCCCTGATACACGAAAAAGGAAGAAATTAGGGCAAAATAAAGAGAAAATAAGGTGATGAAGCACTCTTCTTTTAAATGTTTTCCTGATAAAAACTAAAGCACAATAAACGGAAAACCAAGAGCTAAGATATTTGGTGTATATGATATTTGTATGAGTGCATGTTGGTGTGTCCATGTGTGAGGGTAGGTGTGTCTTTGTGTGAACAAATGTGTGAGATGTGAACATGAGTTTATGTGAGCATACTCACAGGGATGAGTAAATATGTGAGTGTGTTCATGTGCAGGTGAATGTGTCATTGTGTACATAAGTATATGTGAGCATGCCTGTGTGTGAGAGAATGCATGAGCATGATTGTGAGCTTCAGTATGTGGTCTGAGAGAAAATGTGAGCACATATACATGTATATAGGCATGTTGTATGAGAGTGAATCTATTAGTGGGTTCATGTGAAAATGAATATTTGCGTGTGAATGAGTGAATGTGTGACTATGTGTGCATGTTATG